GAGCGTTAACCATAAAGGAAAGATTGATAAATTCAAGTACATCGAAGTTAAGAATTGCCATTCCTAAAAAAGACACTATGATGAAAGTGAAAAGACAAGGCCCTGAGTAAGTATTGTTGACTGATATTTAGAATATATGAAGAGCTCCCTTATGGCCAGTCTCATTGATAAATAAGAAAATGCAGAGTAACCACAATTGGGAAAGCCGTTACACACATCAGATTAGCAAAAATTAGCTGACGACAATTCTTGGCAATTTTGTGGGGCAAAATAAGCCTTCATATGTTGTGTTGGGAAAATAAATTGGTATAATCGTTTTTGGAAAACAATTTGACATTGTCTTGTAGAATGTTGAAGGTGTACATATCTTATTGCCTGTATTTCAGTCCTAGGTATCTGACCAACAGAAATGTGTGCACACGTTCACTAGGATTCATGGCTGAGAATGTTCATTGCAGCATTGTTCTTAGGAGTCTCAAATTAAAAGCAATTCAAATGTTCATCAACATTAAAATGGATAGCTAAATTGTACTATGTTCATATGAAAGGGTGCTACATAACATTCAAAATGCACTAATTTAGATAGGCACTACCTTTTGTTAAACATTTATACATAAATGCTTCTTATCACTTCCTGGACTACAGTTCCCATGAAACATCTTCATGGGGTCACCAGAGTCCCATAGAGAAATCTGGTTTGCAAAAGGTTAGGGAAACTTCCTACAAGCAATGCAATTTCCTAAACCCTACTCTAAAAAAGTAGTTTCGGCTCCATTTTATTGGTTTTAAAACACCTTACTTTGCAGTATTTTCATTACCCCATTTCATTAACATTCCACATATTCCTTGCCCATGGACATAACTATTGTAACAATCCCTGTCCCATGAAAAACAATAAAGCTATTCTCGTGTCAGAAAGACAAGAGGAATAAACCTACTAATACAGAGATGTTTGTCAGCAGAAGTCTCCTCTAGTTATCTTATTTTGCTCTCTTGGCATCTCGTGACATGCAGCACTTACCTAAGGGTAGCGCAAGCTTTCCTAGATGGGTCTCTGTGCTCCTGAAACTCTGGTATCAAGTATAATCCTAAGGCCCTAAAAAGGCTGCCTTGTACTTCATTATACATAATCTTCAGCTTTAGTACCCACAAATAATTGCTACTTCATTCTGTGTCTTAAAGAGGGAGAATATAATTGGCCTTGAGCCTGGAAATATAATGAGATGTTGCAGATCATCCTGTGGCCTTAGGTAGAGCATCCATCCCTGTCCAAGCAACTATGATAAAGAAATGCATTATATGGAACATAACATGGCCATGCACGATTGGCAGTGAGTAAGGGAAGTTCCTATACTGGGAGGCAG